CGATCAGCTCGGGAATCTTGGCAGGATTCAGTCAGCAGAGACCGGACTGCAACAAAGTGAGGATATGCTGACTCGACATAAAGAACAGATTTAATTATCATCATCATCAGCCATCCGAGAGAACCATCCGGCCCCAAGCCAGAAACCCCCACAATCATCTGCCAATTCAAAGGCTTATTTTTAGGGGCCAAACGTCCCCTTTATTCAGCTATTTTCTCACGTCCTCCAGGCTTTGGTCTCAGCACTTGTGCCTGGCTTTCCCCTTTTACAACTCACAGGCATTCAGCCTGATCAGAGCTTGTAGTTGTCATGAGAAAAAGAAAGGAAATATTTGGATAACCTACTTAAAAATGTACAAATACTCCGTATAAGTGCCTTATGTGTATAAGGTTATTAGAGATTAGGCTGCGGAGAAAGAGGTTTTCAGCTTTTCTGTATAAAACTGGGTGGTTTGAGATGAAAAAAAAAACTTAATAATCATATTTTTCATGGTATTATCTATGTGAAGTAACTAAGTAACTAATAGTTAATAATTAAACTAATACAATTTTAATGTGGTGTCAAACTAAATTACTCAAATTCAGGTCAAGTGCCTCAACTCTGCACTTGAGTTGTTGAGTAATTGGACTCTGTTCCATTGTCTGAATTCCCACACCCATAATGCAACACTGTCACTCTGAGGCAAGTGAAAACCTATTTGACCCTCACACCCTCATATTTCTAAACGTAATAGTTTTCCATGATTTGACATGATAAGAAGCTGAAGCAAGTTTAATGTCATGTTTTTAAGAAGGAAGATCATTTAATCATTGAAAATAATTTAAACTTATGTTTGTGGTGTAACTAATGGTTTAAAGTGATGACAGTGAGTACAATTTGTACTGTAATTTGTATCAATTATATAGTACTTCATATATTTCAGTACTTCACAGCTTTATTGAGCTTTAACTTTTCAGGTAATTGCATTGGTTTCTTGGACTTAAAGAAACCAACACTCTCTCTAGTTTCAGTCTTGTTGCTACGATTGTATCATTCAGTAAGAGTAAGCAGCTGTTTTAGCGAAAACCTTCTTACCAAAGTGATATACATCTTTTTCTTTAGTACACATATGATTCAGCTATGGTGTCTTTTCAGAATCGCATCACATTTTCGGCTTGAGAACCAACCAATCAATCGCTGGTTTATTTCTTGCCATATTGTTTGAGTCCATGGTTTTGACATTTGACATTACATTTTTTTTCTTAGGTAAAAATGCATGCATCTTTCTCAGTGGATAATGCTACACTGAACCCACTGAACTGACCCAATGGCCAGAAACAAAGCTTAAGTTGTACTTAAATTCACCAGCTGAAGACCATAAAAGAATAATACTGATATAAAGGAGAACTTTGATTTTTTCTAGCTACCTAATGTATTTCTATACCATTGGTAAAAACATACATAGATATAGGTTGAGGTCAAAAGTTTACATACAGTCATTATGGGCATGAATGTCATGTAATTTCAGGCTTTCGCAGTGAGAGTACTGACAGGGGCTAGAAAGAGAAAGTGCATGTTTCCCATATAAAAAGAAGTATATTCTTTTCGTTGCTCCCTGTTAATTCCAGAAGTAAATTTAAAATCCTTGTCCTCACCAGTGTTTAGGGTTTTTTTTCGCTGTAAAAAGAAGTTTTCTTCCCACGCACGATGGACGCTAATGTTTTTGTCACTTTTTATGGAATCAAACTCAAAGTAAGGTCAGTACTTCCACGCTTTAAACGCTGCACGCTCATACTCTCTCCCACAATCGATATGTGATCCATTGTTGATCTGCACACAGCTGTTGTCACTAACGGCGCACTCGCTTACGTCACTGTCGTGAGACATTCTCGCAAAAAATCACGGTTTTAGTAACGCAGTAACGCAGCGTTACTACGGGAAAGTAACGGTAATCTAATTACCGTTTTTGCAATAGTAATCCCTTACTTTACTCGTTACTTGAAAAAAGTAATCAGATTACAGTAACGTGTTACAAGTAACGCGTTACTGCCCATCTCTGCTCCTCACACACAAGGTCTTGGATAATCTCAAAGACCTTATAGTGCGGTATCTCCCCAATAGAGCACTTCGCTTTCAGACTGCAGGCTTACTCGTTGTTCCTAGAGTTTTTAAAAGTAGAATGGGTGGCAGAGCCTTCAGTTTTCAGGCCTCTTCTGTGGAACCAACTCCCAGTTTGAATTTAGGAGACAAGCACTCGCTCTGCTTTTAAGATTAGCCTTAAAACTTTCCTTTACAGTATGATAAAGCTTATAGTCAGGGCTGGGCCAGGTGACCGTAATCCTCCCTTTATTATGCTGGAATAAGTCTAGGCTGCTGGGGCCTTCCCATGATGCACTGTGTTTTGTCTTCACCACACTTTTTAACTCTCTATGTCTTTAATCACCATTTTGCATTCAATCATTAGTTACTCAATCATCTCTGGCTCTCTTCCACAATGTGTTTTTTGTCCTGTCTTCTTCCCCTCAACTGCAGTTGGTCACAGCAGATGGCCCCGCCCCTCCGTGAGCCTGATTCTGCCAGAGGTTCCTTCCTGTTAAAAGGGAGTTTTTCTTTCCTACTGTCACTGTGTTTGCTCATAGTGGGTCATCTGATTGTTGAGGTTTTTTTTGGTGTTTTGTATTATTGTAGGGTCTTCACTTTACAATATAAATTTGGCGCCATATAAATACAATGAATTATACTTAATTGAAGCTTAGGGTTAGCCTGGTTTATCTATTTCAAAACCAGTTTTTATGTGCGTTTGGGATCATTGTCTTGTTTAGTTATTGACTGGCTATGAAGCTGAAGAATTTGGAGGTTTTCTCGCTTCTTTATTATTTCATCCACTTGCAATGTACCAGTATTACTGGCCGCAAAACAGCCCCCAAGCATGATACTACCACCACCATGCTTGACAGCTGGTACAGTGTTCTTAGATTTAAAAATCTCACTTTTGCTCACTTCACCTTTTGTGGCCAAAAAGGTCAATCAGCATAACCCTTTTCTCCAGAAGCCACTTTGCTTTTTCAGCTGCAAATTTTGGGCGAGCCTGAAGGTGTTGATTTGGAGCCAAGGCATCTTTCAAGGCCGATGCAATGGGAATGTAAAACTTGCTTCACTGTTGACGTAGACACCGGTGTTTCAGAATTTCCTGTTCATGGCAGGTTTGAGCCTTGGTGGTACTGGTTTGTTCTTCAACACCCTGACCAATTTCCTTTAACTTGAGGGGGATAGTTTAGGTCTTCTTCAAGGTCTGTGCAAAGTCGTGACACATCAAAATAACTTGTACTTATGTACAATAGTTTGAATTGATTATCTTGGAATCTGCAGTTGTTTAGAAATGGCTCCAAGACACCTTCCCAACCTGTGTAAATCTAAAGTTCTCCCTCTTTGCTCTTTACTGAGTTCATTGGACTTTTTTTTATTATTCTAATTATTAATCAGTCCATCAAGTTCTGTCAAACAAATCCTTTTTCTGCCAAAACAAAATAATTTGTCTGTGGTCTGGCATAATGAGAATTTAACAGGTCTAAGCCTTGTCAAGTCAAAACACATTGTTGAGTTTTCAGCATCACATTAAAAGATTTAAGCAAGTGTATGCATATATTTGAGCCAAAATAAATTCAAACTTGTGCACCCAATTCTTATTTTTGTAAGGTCAAAGGTCAAAGATGCATGTTGTACCATCAAAAAGAACAGTTCAGAGAAATTATTAAAAGCCACAAATTACCATGGCTTTTATGCTCATGATGAGTGTATGTAAACTTCTGACCACAACTGTATATTTTATAGTTTAAGGGTGTGACACATTAATAATTTAGGGTTATTTCCTGCCCACAACGACAAGACTGCGCTTGAGGGTAGTCAGAAAGAGAAAGAGCAGAGGCCACTGGTTTCCAGGAAACAGCTCATCAGCTGGATTATAAAGTTCCTATATACAAAAATACTACACGTATAACTAGTTATTACAGTACAAATAGCCCGTTTCTGTGTATGTGTAGGCATGTTAAGGAAGTAAAAAAGAAGAAAAATCATGGTTTTATTTCTCATAAAGAGGCAGGGTGTAGATGATGATCATAAGCATGTCTGATTCACTGACAAAAGTAGTTGTTTAACTGTTTAACTGTTAAAGGCTGATAAATAAAGACTGAAGTTCATTAATTACATAAGAAAAATGCCATATTTGTACACGGAGACAGATAACATTTTTATGTCTCAGTTTAACTTTTCAGTAGCATATGTTGTTTATTTTACCTGTTTAGTTTAAGAACTTATAATATATTAACCAATGTTAACAGTGTTAACTTTGTAGGGACTGACCCCTAAGAGTGTTTTTTTGTCACCGAGATTAACCCCTTGCATGTGACCATGTGATCACACACTCTGTGAGCTGTTGTTTGGCAAAGAGCCAGCCAGTCAGAGAGCTTTGTGAAGTTGCGCCAGGCATCGAGTTGACCTGATGTCCGAGTGGGTTAATAATTGATGTCCTGAGTTTGACCTTGTTGTCGCACGCGATCCCATCTCAATCCTATTTTTCCAAGAATTTCTATAAGTTTCCCCCTGACACACACACACACATACACACACACACACACACACACACCTTTTTTGTTTTGTTATTGTCTGTCAAAACAAAGAGACAAAATGTAATGCCACCTAAAAAAAAGCAAAGAAAAAAAAACAGAACCAAAAAAACCAGAACTCTAAAAAAGTAAAACCACTTCCCTGCTTGCTGTTCATATTTGTATCCACAGACTTTGGTCTTCCGGCACAGTGCAACATAGTTCATGTGTTGCAATCTTTCCAACAGGGCGTGTGTGTGTTTGGTAATAGACACCGAGGAGCAGCTGATGTAATGACTGTAAAACAGATTTCCAAGAGTCTGAATGACTGGAATGCCTTTAGGAAGTATAGTATTTAAAAATGGTTTTTGGTGAAACATGTGTGAGCAAGCTTCCAAGACTTTTAAAGAAAAGACAGGCTTCAAGTAAAAAGTTAAAAAATATTTTATTTACATCTTCTTTATTCTGTTTTTCCCACAAACATATCAGTCCACTCTTTTTGTCTGCACAAACAACATTTGATGGATCAGATATAGTAGATTTGGTCCACACATACAAAATCATTTCTTAGCAAAAATTATAACTCAAACCAGTATTTTAGAATCTGAAATAAAACCAAGGCCAAAAAATCAATTGTATCTGACAATTAAAAAAAAGTCATACCATACATGTAATATGTATAATATATATATAATGTTTTTAAAATGACATTAACTTCACAAAAAACAAAACAAAAAACAGCTAAAGATAAACTCTTGAAGGCACAATATGGCACATACACTTTTATTTTTCAGCAAACAGCAAACATCATCATGGCAATTTGCATTTGGTCAGCTCAACAGTTTCTCACAGTTTCTGCAGGCGTCTAAAATATGTTAAAGGCAATAATCTGATTTCTGTTTTTGGATAAAGCTGATTAAAAAGAGATAGCACCTTCACCCTGATGCCAAAACAGAAAAGGACTGTCTGAGCATTGCTTTAGCGTGTGTGTAAGCATTCATGTATTTGTGCGTCTTCACAGAGGTATTGAAGCACGTACACACTGCTGCTGGTGCTGCTTATGATGGCTGCAATTGACCGTGTAGATAAGCTGCACACGAACAACACATACTGTATTGTATGAGACATGGTGTCATATATTCACAGTGATACATTTCTCCTTGAGGCACTTGAAGCTGGCTGTGTTGAACATTCACAATTTTACCCTCGAGCTCGCCAGTAAGAAAATCCCCTCACTTTCAGTTTGTCCCAGACGCTACTTTTGGTGCAATAGGTGGTAGTTTCATATTTAAGTTGGCACCCTGCTCAGCAGAGGGTTCAGGCTCAGCAGAGGCTAAAATGACTGTGCACCACAAGTTATTCACATGCAGACTGTCTAGACAAGATCTAATACTCAGATTCTGCATTTCTTTCCCTGAATTCTGTTTTCCTCATCTTCCTCATCTCTTTCTCAATTTCAGTTAGTCAGTCTGTCTGGCTACATGACTTTATAACCAAAACACATACACAGAGCACAAAGTGCTTAATCTCAACTCATAATTTTAAAAGCAATCTCTTTTCATTCTCTTTTATTGTGCAAAAGTCTTCAGTCACTCTCATTTCTCCATATTTTACTTTGAAGGAGCCAGAGTTTCCTGTAATTTGGTCAAGTGGTCTTGAGCAATTGTTCTCCAGGTTTTCTGAATGTCTTTAGTTTTAGTTCAAGTTTTTCTGTAGACATTGACTGCTTTGTCACTCATTTGTAGTCCAGTCATTATACCTGGTTCTTTTCAGAGGAATGTTTTTGTTTTGTTTGTTCAACACTTACTATTAAGGATTAAAAAACAACAACAAACTGTAAGGATAAGCAATTGTCTACTTTACAGACAAGTTAGCAAACAACCAAGAAAATGTGTCTTTAGTCACTTTGCTACCAGCAGCCCATTGCAAAAGTGCATAATTTATTTAGTTGAATGTATAAAAAATGCTAAAGGTAAGCTTGACAGTCTGACAGGCATAAAATAAAATTCAGCACCAAAGTGATTCCAAGAGTGCTGTTAGCTGAAAGCTTGGCATATCTCAGCAAAGTGTGCAGTATGTCTTTAAAAAAATTGAAGAAACAGAACAAGTGGAGGACAAAGGAAGAAGTGGCAGGCCTAAAAAACAGCAGATGAAATGTATGTTAAGAAATAGGAAAAGACCAGCAAAGACCTGACACAAGACCTGAGAGATGCATCTGCACCTTCAGCTGATCCATCTACTGTTCAGTGAAGCCTCATCAGAAATGGCCATCACTGAAAAAGACTTTCTTAAGAAAGGGGAACAAGGAGAAAGTTTCACAAAAAACGGACTGAAATCCAGGCAACCAGTCTAATGGAGTGATGAATCCAAACTTAAACTTTTTGGTTCAAATCATTGTCCTTGTCAGTTTGTAGATCAAGACAGAGGCACAACAGTGAATCTTTAAAACCACCTGTAAAACACGTCAGAGGCTCTGTCATGGTTTGGGGCGACATTTCAGCCAATGGTGTTGGAGGAGATGTTGTCAAAACTGAATTTTGAGCGCAGAGAATTATGCTCAGATTTTGATCTACCATACAAAGGCATCTAGAAAGTGTTTGATTGGCAATGGTTTTTAGTTTTACAGCATGACAATGATCCCAAACACACTGCCAATGTAGTAAAAGCATACCTGGATAGAAAAACACATGATTGAACATTACCACATTATCATGGACTATTCTCCCCCAGAGCCCTGATCGTAACATCACTGTAGCAGTGTGGGATCATGTTGACAGAGAATGGAAGAAAAGGCAGCCAGCATCCAAAGAAGAGCTTTGAATGTCCTTCAAGAAGCCTGGAGAACTATTCCAGAGAACTACTTAAAGTACACACTCTGTTTTTGATTTATATAACGTATTCCCATGTGTGTTTTCAGATGTTTCAATAAAACTGCTAACCTACTTCTTAAATCAAGGGTGACTCAAGACTTTTGCACAGCACTGTATTTTTCTTCACCCCTTTCTGTACTTGTCCTCTTCTCCTGTTGAATTCTAATACAAGTCCTTCATGATCTCCTGCAGCAACGGGTGCAAACACATGTCTATCTCTGTTTTTTTAAGCAGCTGGATGAGATGGACGTGATCGGTGACTATCTGACGCAGGTCTGTCATCTTCTGGAGCAGCTTGGCAAACAGCTGCAGAGAGTCTGGATGGTTTAGCTTCAGCTGCAACTCCAGTGAATGAAGCACCGTCTCCTGAAGCTGCTCGATGGGCTTCACATTCAGCAGGCCTGGCCGGTCTGGACACATTACAGAGATAAGGAGGATAAATGAGAGACTGACCACAATATATCCAAAATCCATTAAAACAGGTAGATGAAAATTTAAATTGGCATAAGAAGAGAAATAAAACCGATAGAAAATGACCTAAAGTTTAAAACTTACGTTGGATGGAGAGGTGCAAATAACTAAACATTATCCACATTCACTGGCAGAAAACATCTCAGTTTAAGTTAAGAATACTTATCTCGATTTCAAGAGATAATATTTGTCATTTAGGTTAATATTTAAATAAAACGTTTAATTTTAATCATCATGCTATCCAAGGTCAGGTTTTTATCAAGCAGCACTATAATAATCACCAATACTAGACTAAGCAGTTAGGATCTGTTGACATAAGAGGGTGAGGCTCAAGTGTTCACAAGCTGGTCTGATTTGTTAACATTTTAGATTTTAAACCCTTAGGTCCCTGCTTGCTTTACTGTGATATTACTAGAACAAAAATGTTTGTTAAAAGATGTCAAAGTTGTATAAAAACGACTCGACTGAGTGATTGTTAGTTGCTCATGTGGTTGCCAGTGAAACCTCACCTTTTTTTTTTCTTTAAGATACAGTGAGTCAAAATGTTGTCATCAACATGCAACTTGCTGTTTGTAAATCTCCCTGCACGTGATGCAGTTGCTGTTTACTGCCGTTCTGCTAGATTCCCTTCCCAAAAACATCCAATACATCTATGAGTGGGCCGAGGCTGGCCGGAGATAGTGTGTTAAACACAGAGAACTGATAACTTGGATTTACTTGGAGCAGCTAACTATGTTAACTATGTTACTTTATATACACATGGATGTAAATTAAATTCACGTTGTCTGGCAGAGGCACAGCGATAACATGAAATAACCTTGGAATCATGATTTTTTTTTTTTAAATATTTAAAATAAAAAAGTATTTTTGTTTCATTTTTGCCAAATATTGAGCTGAGAATGGGGTCGCCAGTGTTGTATTTGTTTAATATATATCGGTAAGGAAACAGGAAGCGGTTAGCTTAGCTCTGTACAGAAACAGAAAGGCGTAAAAATGAGATTGCACAAGTGGTTTTATTGGTAGGTGATCATGGTATTCTTACTGTGCTAAGCAGCTGACACAGTAGTGCATTAGTAGATGCTACATAGAACTTTGCAGACCCACGTATGCGTGTTGTAGCTACCAACAAGGGGGCAATGTCACGCATATGTGGCGCACGCTTAGTAAGGCTTGTAAGGCTTAGTAAGCGTCTGATTGGCACAACTATCACTTGTGCCAATCAGACGCTCTGACATGAACATTTACGACCAGTTTGGACTCACCAGTTAACCTAGCATGCATGTTTTTGGGCTATGGGAGGAAACTTGTACAGGGAACCCTCCACACAGAGAGGCCCAGGGTGACCAAGAGGTTCAAATGACTACCTTCTTCCCGTGAGGCAACAGTTCTAACCACTGCGCTGCACCACCCAATGTGACCAAGATTTGTAGTGGAGTCAACCATGTGTTAAAAACACTGAACTGTGCACTGCAGCTACTCTCGGTGCTGGCTGATCTTTGATGGGTTTTCTGCATGTGTTAAAGACAATTTTTCTACATACACTTAACGTATTGCTACATGCTGTTGTGCTTTTTTTTCTTTTTTCTTTTTTTTGGGGGGTTGCACACATGCAATAGCTTCCACTGATTACATTTTCACAATCCCTCTCACTGTGTAGCCAGCCATGATTACCTCAATAAGGAACACTGCCAGAACAGCTATTTCTCCCTGCTTCCAGCTGTTACGTAAAGCAAGGTTAAGCTGTGTGCAGCATCACTTTAATAGACAGATATTAACCGATAATGGTGTCAGTCCTGTTAACTCAAAGTCTAAACTCAGACTACAGACGTTTTAAAATCCAAGCCAATTTTGAAATTGTTTCATCGTGCACATACAGAAAACAATTATTAGAAATATTAGGCCAGAGGGAGCAATGTGAGTGATCTCATGTGGTTGCATTTCTAGACTAAAATGGAGACTGTGGTGCAATCGCTTGCTGTAATGTTAGCAATAGCTTGCAATGAGAAAAAAATCAGGCGGCTAATAAAATCTGGATGACAAAGTACTTGGGTCGATGTGGTCAGCAAGGGTTATTTATTCTTGAACGAGAACCCGAGGCAAGATTTTAACTGTCAATAAAATCTGTCGACACCATTAGCCGCCCCCAGGCTAATCTTATGTATGCAATCATGCTCTTGCCATATATGGAAAAACGGTTCATTCAACACATCAGTCCAACAGATGCCATGTTAATCATGTCTGTATACCTGCAGACACTTTCTTTTATGAGTATATCAGCACCAATAAAGTGCTGATATACTCATAATCAAATCTGAACTCTAAACGTCCAACAGTGGACGCAATGAATCTGTGAGTGTTTTAGGAGGTTTAAGATAAGTGCTCCAAACCATTCACATATCCAGATTCCTCCTCCGAAGGTCAGGAGAGGTGAACTGGGGGCAGATAGTAAAAGTAAAAATATTAATAAAAACACTCACCCCCACTGAGAATGATAACAGCCAGAAACAGGGCCATGTCGCTGTCGTCCAGCTCCAGCGTGTTAAACTTGACGGAGAATTCAAACTTTGGTTCCATCATTTGACAGAAAGGTTTCCTGAGACTCTTGAGGAACTCCCGCGTCATAAAAATCTGTCCATAGGAGATGAGGGTCCCATCTTTGTTCATCAGAGGCGACATCATGATGATCAAAACCTCAATCACACCGTACTTCAGCAAAGTAACCTGAAAATAAAGAACACAATGACTGTATCAAAATCTGGCAAGATCTTTAGTTTAGTAGAAATGATAGTCGGGTCGTAACTTCATTTTCATTCAAAATCTAGAACTGCAAGCAGCAATGAGCTTCGCTAACCATTATGTCGACTTATTTACTTTGATCATTTTCTGAATTGAAATTGTCCAAAACTGTTTATTTTAAAGTTGTTTTAGAAAAAATCTTCCACAACAATCAGGACCGAACGGATGAACCACTGATGAATCTCACCTGATCATTTAGATCCAAATCAACAAATCCAGGGATACTTTTGGCAAACTCTGTCACTTCTCTCACTGCTTCTGCTGAACGAGACTGACAGCTCTGGAAGAAACGCAGCTCCACAGTGTCTGCTTCTCCCTGTCCACCGAAGACTGCCATTCTCATAACCTCACTCTCTGACATTGGGCGCGTTTCCGTGTAGCCTGATACCATGTGAGAGAAGGTACTTAATTTAGTTGGAGGAGTACAAGAAAAACAGAGAAGCTAACTATATAAGAAGCTAAGAATAACTTAAGAGTTAACAGATAATTGCTGAATTTTGTGTCTTTCTAGATTTCTCAATCCTCATTCATCTCCGTTTTTCTGCAAGACTTTTAGAAAATAACAATACAATTATCGACTGATGAAGAGAATATGACAGAAGATACAGTGGTACCATTGAGAACAGGTAACATAATTTATCAGCACCAGTAAAACTGGACTTGAAAAATGTAAAAACAGCACTTTTCTCCCCAGAAAAACTAATGCAATGAATTGGGGTTAATATGTGTGCTTTAATAATTATCTTGATTATGTGAAAACAAAAAAAAACATTGACAACACTGGGTGAAACTGGTAAATGAAGAAGTTTGAATAGTTGGGATTTTCATTTTAAGGAGCTTGTCGGAGTTTCAGCCTTTGTTTTGTATATTTTGAATTGCTATTACTATTAATTCCAATGTAAAGTTTTTTGTTAATGTGGAATAATAGGAACAATATCTTCTGCATTGCTGTAGCTAATTGCATTCCTAAAACTAAACAGAACAATAACAGACAAACAACATGTTTTGGACATTGCAACAAAAGGTGTTCTTTAACAGAGTAATTTGATACTACCCACCTCCGTGTACAGGTAGAAGAGCGGAGGTCTGGTGCTGCTGCTGCTGGAGCTCTGGGACTGGTATCTGCTTACAATTAATGAACTGCTCTCCTTCCATTAGAGACTTCATGTCGTGGATGACAAAAGGCTACAGGTAGAGTGCAAGGAAAATTTTGGGAGAAGGCAGAAGAAAAGGAAAAAAGAAAAGAAAAAGAGAAAAAATTAAGTTGATTATAGGTCTTCTGAGGACATTTAGTCTCATCTGTATGATGAGGCACATAAAGAAAGTCTCAGCTGCAGGCCGACACAGAAAAAACCATCATTTCCAGGTATCTGAGCAAACTTACGCTTACTTTAGTAAAACTAACATGCACTGGCCTGAAACATGAATGCTGCTATTCACACACATAAATCTTCACTGTAGTGGGAATAGAGGGAATTAAAGCAGGAAATTCTCTAGAAGTTGTGAAATGAACAACCCATTTCCTGCGTGAGTGAATGAAACTGAGTGGGGGGAGTGAAATGTCTTTATGTGCTCACTGTGCAGGAATCTGTTTGTTAGTTTTGTCTTTACACAGCAATTGCATGTATGTTGTTCAGTGCAAGCACAATGAGCGCCTCCATTTTCTTATAAGTGCCAGCTTTCATAAAATTTCTTTCAACACACTCAGGATTGCTGCTATAAACATATAGGCTAAACAAATATAGTCTATATGAAGATACCTTTAATCTATTTGTGCGACTGCAATGCTACGTTTTAGCATTTGCCACTAGCAACATTACTAAATGTGCAAAAAGAAAAAAACACTATACTGGGTAGCTTTGTTGGAAGCTAAATTGAACTTGTGTGAACATTATGTATAACAAAGAAATCAAACCTCCATTTTATCTGAAGCACTCATACAACAAGGTAAAATAATAGGTATCTTGCACAGAGACATTGTAGCTCAGTTTCCAAAATAATTGAGCAAAACAATGATGGTTTTCCAAGGTTAAGGAAAAAAATCGCTTCCTTTATCTCACATGGTGTGTCTGGAGTTCCGGTGCAGTTAAACACTGATTACACATCAACTCATATCAAGGTTCTGCTTGTTAAAAAATGTAAATATTCTACGAAAGTTAAAATCATTGACTCCCAATTTGTTTTAGGAGGATTGCTTTGGTTTAGTAAATAACCAAGCAGTCCCTCAAACAAAGAGATGATTTGGTGCTATTTGGCTGCAATCACCACGATGAACAGTCATAACAAGCAGACGAAAGAGATGCGGCGCAACCTTGAGCTGAGAGTTATCCGAGAACACGAGTAAAAAACCCAAAACTAAGAATCTCCTTCTACATTTTAAGAATATAATACGCTCAAAGTTTTTAATCCACTTTTTTATTCTGTGAGGGAAAAAAATCAAAGAAGATGAAGTGATCAGGTTTCACAGAAAAGCCTACAAAAACATACACATTCACAAATACTGGAAATATCTTCATGCTGATAGTTTTTAAGCATGTTTTTCATATTCTCTATAATTAACCGTCATTTGTCTGAAAACAGACAATTGAATTTTTGACCTCCAGTGACTCATCTCACATCTTGTGACACGATCCTGTGTTTTTATCGGTTAAAACAAACTGTCCAGTGTGCACCATGGGCGTATTAGTCAAACAGCATCAGTACCAAGAAAAAGAAGAAGAAGGAACAATGGTTACTGGTACACACGTAGAGCATATGCATGTAGAATTAGCTTTTTAATTTTTTCCGCTCCACTCCTTAAAGCCCAGCAAAACCAGTATGATGACATGGCTATGCATCAATGTCAACTTAAAATTACATTGGATTCTTGCAGATATGTTGGTCTCTGCTGATTGGTTGGAGAGACTAAAATCAAATCCCCAACTGAAACTACTTACAGTTGGAACAATGAATGATAATGCAAACACAGCGTAACAGGCTGACGGTACTATCTGATATCAAACCAACTCCATAATCTTCAGATCACATATGTATGTCTGATTAAAGAAATGTAGTTGCCACACTCAATGTAATATTACTAGTACTACTATATGAATAATACACAGACAAAGCAACTTCACATATAGGAATAGCGGCATCATAAGGAGAAAAAAGGGAGAAAACTGATAAATTAAAAGCAAAAATAAAATAATGCAAAGTGGATAAAAATATTCACTTGAGATCTATTTTATGTTCTGCTTGCATGCTATTTGATTAGGTCTCTTTGGAAAACTCTAAACTCTAAATAGCTTCTTCCATTCAACTTTTCTAAATTTCCAAATGTCTTTATGAAATCATTTGATGTTTTAAGCAGGACTGTCGAAGCCATGGTTGTAAAAGAAAAGACTGCTAAAAGCAACACCACCCTGTTCTGTAGTTTGACCATTGTAACCTGAGATATTTTCTAACAGCCAAGACATGTTGAAACCAGTCCATCCACTTTTTGAGTTAACACAGCAGCAACAGCCTAAATCGCGTCATCTGAGTCAAAACTGAGCGTGCTCACAGGAATTTATGCTGACAAATGTTAAAAGACGTGCTGAGTAAAAGGTTTAAAATACTTAGAGTTTAAATCATATTAATGGTGTAGTATTAATAACAATTCTAACTAAATTTAATTCTTGTATAAGTGAAGGTAAAGAGTAATAAAGCATTAAGGCTTTTTCTATGTCCTACTTCTGAATTTTGGTAAAATACTGCATGAAGTTATGGATTTTTCACCCTGGCCTGTTCAGTATGATCTTGACTCTGTTTAATGTCATCCTTGCTTGTGATAGTTTCCAGAATGGGAGATATAAAAAAAAAAATATAGGTCAAATTTGTGCTGTAGATGTCGTTCTTAGTGGAGAAAAAGCAAACAGGAAAGAGAAACTGGCTCAGTAGCTCTCATCAGCGAGATGAGAACGTTCAGTATATGTAGATGGTTGATATATCCCTGGAATGCAAAGACAAGTGAAACCACATGCACACCTGCAAATATCTTATCAGTTCAAATGCTGGTCTAATATTAAGCAGCAGTGCTCATATACAGTTTTTTTCTGATCTATTTTCTGTCCTGAGAATGCCAATGTTGAGCGCTATCTGTCTGCTGATTTTGTACGCATCCGAATCAAAGCAAATGAGAATTTAGAGAGTGCTGCTTACCACGTTGTCTCCGGTCTTCCCAGAGAGGATGGCCCTGGCCTTGGCCTTGGTGAGAGGGAAGTATTTCAGATAGGCCTCGTACAAATGCCGGGCCAGAGCCCTCAGATCTGCTGCCTCCGGGTGCATGTGCTCCATGTCAGATGAGAACTCGGCTAGCAGTTTTTCCTTCTCTGCCTGAGGCATTCGGCCAAAACGAATAGCTGGGAAAGGAAACAGAAGAACACTCTGGTGAACCATGAAAAACAGACATAATCACATGTGCACAGCAAATACGCAAAACCTGAAGCCTGAGTCAATTTATTGGAGTCACGCGACCTCAAAAGTCCCAGTTTGAATTAATACCATTTTGACTGACATTTCGACCTCAAACCACGTGTTACCATGTGCTACTTCACTTCTACAAAACACAAGTTAGGCTGAAAAGTTGAATAATGAATTCAAAGAACATGGGGAACCCTAAAAAATATTTCTAAACTACATTTTTCCTTTAGTAAACTAGCTTTAACAGAAGTAAAACACTATTTATTTGTGTATCAGATTGTAACATCAAGTACAATATGCTCATTCATGTGTAGCCATGTACACATGAATGAATCCCAGCCTTTTCCCGCTCAAAAAGGTCATTTTTGGAAGTGACTACATGTGATGGATTAGCTTACACAAAAATAAATCTGTCTTGTGATTGAAATCCATTCCCTGTTATTTCAGACCAGTTGATAAACAATATTCTACATAAGTAAATGAAAAATTTAAAAAATTGACTTTATTAAAAGCTGGTAATTTTTTATACTTATATTGAAGTCACTGGAGTACAATATCTGCTTAAGTAAAGGCTTTAAATACCTTTTTCATCACCCCATTTACCTTCTGTTAGAATGTTTAATTTCTTTATCACATCTTTAATATTTGATCAATGAGCAATGAATCAAATTGAACAGCTAATGTCAACAGAATTACCCATCTAGAGCAAACACACAAGATTTTACGGCACACTGAAGCACTACAAACCCCAGTGAACAAAGAATGAAATGTAAATGTGGGACATTTCATTTGAGACAGGGGACGTGTTTCTTTTACCTGATATGCAACAACGCCAATGTTAGGTAACTACTCTTTAAACCGTTGCGATGTCACAATATTTTAAGCTTGGAGTTTAAGTAATGGAAAACTTGTCCGAGTTGCTCTAATAACTCAAAGATTTCTGAATGTTAAAAAGTCACATGAGTCATATGACTCATGGCTTCTTCAATGAAAGGGAAAATCCAGTGGCATCAAAAGATGACAAATGATTCTGCTGTGATTTTTGAGGTGTGTCTTATGAGGCAATTAGAACATTTTGTTGACTCTGATATTGTGTACGGACCGATGTTTTCACAGCTCACAGAAAGATGAGTCGTTGGTTGAATAGGTATTTATTTTAGGATTCAGCTGAGATAAATATATTCTCTTGTAAATGAAGTATTGAGTCTCAGTGGGACTACCTGTATAAAAAAAGGTTAAATAAAATAAAATATAATAAAAACAGACCTGAAATGTAACAGCTTTCATTGCATTAATGTAATTTTCACAGAATGCAAAATTATTTACCTCCTGATAAAATTATGTGTATTTTATGCCCCTTAACTAAATATATTGATTATATTTCATTTGATCAAAAATATACCTGTATAAAATTATCTTATATTACTACATAATAAAACAACTGTAAGTTGTTTTATTATGTATGTTGTATTCTTGTACAGCACTTTGGTCAATGCTCCTGTTGTAATTAAATGTGCTATATAAATAATTAAACTAAACTAAACTAGAGTTGCATTGCACTTTTCAAATTTTATAGTCAGCCTCTATTTTATGCTGAATGTGACAAAATGTTTTACAAGCTGACAATTTCTCTGAATACTACGTGTCAGTTTTAGACTTTGTAACTTTGTAAAGCAGTAAGGTCTGATATCTGTCAATGAATATAAAATGCAACCCATGTTTTGTAAAATTAGAAACAAAATAAAAACAACACATAAAAAAAAGACAAAAACCCTGCAAGATGTGACTTGTGAACCCCCACAGAAATAAATGGTCCACTGGCGGCTGAAAGCAGGAGGTAACGGCACATCTATCTACCAGCATTCAAGTGAATGCTTCCCTTGCCCTGCTGCGTGTACATGAAAGCAGCACTGTGGTTGTAACATGGCTGATGTGGATGTCTTTTTTTTTTTCTTCTAAGAAATCTGACACCAAGGTGTGACCATTCTTTTTCTGTTAGTGGAAGTCATTATTCCTTATTTCCATTTCATTCCCAGCTCTGAATTTACTGCAGTGTGTACGTGATTATGTAATGCTGACTGCACACCCTAAGCAAATGCATACAAACTAAAGTGGCTCTACCACCGGGCACCGCGCCCACGGCAGTGACACAGCAAACTGGAGAAATCAGTTCAACGCAAGTCAATCATTGATTAAACAAAAACCCACACAACTCCAGCTATACCTATTACACCAGAGTGATATCAGAAAAGGTGGAGGTAGAGAGAAAGACGCAGAGATAAGCAACAGCAGAGTAGAAAAAAACATATATCTATTGATAGCAGATGCTCATAATGTTGTTGAATTTAAGTCACTTCTAAGATTAAAGTGTGACGAGTCCAGCCGACTTTTGCCATGATGATTGACAAAACCTTTCATGCTAACCGGCACCAGCAATAAGGTCATTAGTTAGATAAAGGAGACATGGTTTAAAAAAAAAAGCTTGAATTAAGAACCTTTTGGTCATGAAACTGTGAGATTGTAATTACTCTGACACCCAACTCTTAGAGATAAGATCACATCTGCGTTAATGTGATGTCGTTTTCAATAAACTACAGTTACAAGCTGCCAAGTAGGAAAAGCCTGTTTCCTCAGCCTCTGAATCCAGCACACAGATGCCACGCACCTATGCCAGTGTTTTCAGTGATGAATTGAATTACTGAACCATTGTCAAATTTGTGCAGCATCTTCCTCGGGGTCATGCTGTAACGCTTTGACTAGAGGTGGTATGTAAACCTAGTAGGTGATAAACCTGTTGTAGAAGTTTGGATATAAAATCTGTCCCCACCTTTCTATGCCTACCTAGAAAAAAAAAACACAGCAGATAATTTGGCTTTTACTCATCACAGGGGCAAAGCTTTAGGACAGTGGGCAGCACAGTTACAAATGACTAACATGTAACAGTTACCAGACTAATATATATGAGTTACCAGGTGAGCTTCTTTCAAGGGATGACTTAAACCTGTTCCTGTTCTTACAATCGGTGTATTTATGATGGGCAATGGCTGAACTGGGGAACTTATTTGGTGGAGGTAAGCTGCTATGTCTGACAGACTGGACAAACCCCAAGATGGCCTGCCCAAGGTAGCAAATAATCAAGCTATGGCCTCAGTCTTGGTAAAATATGCCATTTCTCACTATTTAGGTTGCATCTGCCCACATATGCAGTCTATGGTCAGGATTGCCTCCTGCTCTAGCCCACTGGGTAAGTAAGCTGTGGCACCTCCACCATCATCTACCACTTCATTAAAATCATTCTTTTTTCCCCCCACCTTTTAATATTCACCTCACTCTTCAGAGTCAAGACTCCTGACACCAAAGAGGCATCAGGCTGTAATAAAATTTATTCATCAACTTTTTAATATTTACTATTAGAGCAGAACTAACAAAACCACTAAATGCAGCTAGTTTCCTTTTTATCTGGAATGGCTTAAGTTTGTAACAAAACCAAATGAAGAACTATCCACAAAGCAGTCTGTTTACATGTGCTTTAAATGACTACACATATAAGAAATGACTAAACTCCCCCGGTATGTTACTTTGGTTTGTCCCTGGGCCTCGTAAGCAGGTGACTGAATTGCTTTTACTTACATCCTGTTAAAGAAACACTGAGTACTGTTAACATATAAATGTATATATATATATAGACACACTCTTTTAATGCACTATACAACAGAATTTAAGTTGCGAACAGTTCTGATTAAGGCTTTCTTTTCAACTCTGGTAGATGGCCATCTCCTCTGTGTTCATTCACCTTCCAGTCTAACTGCCCCTTAAAAAAAGTGCCACTTAAAAAATACTTAAGTGATTCCAGTATCAATCATTCAGAAGGTTTTGAGCTCCTGGTCTCCATTACAGTGTCATACTGTTTTTAACACGCTGCAATTACAAGCTGTCAAGTAGGGGGGAAAAAAAGACTTCTTCTGGATGCAGCACAACGATACCGTGCAAGCATGCCAGTGTTTCCAGTGGTTTGTCTAATTAAGTCTTAAGTGCAGCCCCCATTAATTTACCTGAGAAGCAGGATTATTCTGAGCTCTTCAAAGATCACCTTGTTTGCTTTGAAAGGGGGAATTCTGCTTGTTTCTAGAGCAATATGGCCAAATACAAAAAGGGTAAGCTTCAGCAAGTGCAAGGCCAATGACAGGGCAGCAACAACATTAGTGTTTGATAAAAGTTGTATAATTTACCATCATGCTTTTGTTATTTCCTGTTCTGTCAACTTCTTGCCCACTTGACCACAGAGTTCAGTGTAGCCACACTTCCACTAATGTATGAGAGAATTTCCTGTCGCTGTCATTGCTTCTTTTTTTTTTTAAACCAGTGGTTGTGCAACAGGCAAACCTACTTCATCAGAGTGCTCAAATCTGTGTTTGCAATCGACAGGAAAGCTATTATTTTGGTGGTGTTACAGCCACCAAAATAATGGCTAATGCATGCTCACTATTTATTATAAATTACATAACCCACACACTTTTTTCAGTGCAAATGGGGAAGCGATCTTTGTGGGAAGCAGGGCTTTCTGACTTGTCATGATTTGCAGAGTTATTTTAATTTTACGACCTCACCGAAGTGAGTATGCTACAAGTGCGGTGAGGAGGGAAAGAGCCATAACGTGTCCAACCCTAACAGGTGCAACAAATATAACAGGAGAATCAGGAAGACATCAATCAAACATAGCCAGAGTATACTTATTTACTCACGAGGTTCATAATGAAACACAGCTGAGGAGGTGGAGTCAGGTGTGCTTGTTGATGCTCCTGACTGGACAACAAAAGCTAACAAAACAAAACTATTCTAAAGCGACGGATGAAAGAAGAGATTTTTTTTCTTTTGAAGTAGACGGTTTCTCTGCATATTGTACTTTTGTGGAGTAGTTTGCAAATGGTGAGGTCATCTAAGAGCTGTTTACTTGTATCTCAGTAAAAAGCTCTACGTACAAATGTCTGGTACATGAAAGGCAAACATATGTGTGTTTTCATTTTTTTCTAAATTGTACATGCAGTTTTTAAAAACTTAAAAACTCTTTTAAAAAAGACCCACTCACGTGGCTGATGTACAAACTTAGTGCACACAATCAGCCAAATGCTTGTGCGAATAAAACCGAAGCTGGCAACTTTTCACACATTCAAACAGCAGCAACGCTGACAGAATTGCTATAACACATTTTTGATGATATGCAGTGAAAACAGTCAGGCTGTGAGTAGCATGCCTCTGATAGGTGTGCTACTCACACCTATCATATCTGTCACTATCAGGCCTTTGTTGAATAAAGCACAAAGGCAGGTCAAAATTTAGAACTTTTGATAGGCGTTATAGTTAGCTATACACCAGAATCTCATCTTTGAATTTCTACTGTGATATGAATCAGCTGGGGGGTGGCGGGTACACACTGCGCGAATGATGGGAACTAAAACATGAACCAAGATTTGCAACAATGGCCAAAGACCACAGATGAAAGAATTGGCAACATCTAAGACAGTGATATAGATTTCTGCACACATTACTATGACACCTCAAAGGCTAAATTGGAAGCAGTGTGGTCAACACGCATCTGCGGCTCTCAAAGGGCATAAGTACTCAGTCCGAGAAGAGGCGCTTCCTGAACCTCAATTTCAAAGAAGAATCAGTCTTTTTACCTACATCTGCTTATTTATAGACATATAAATAGGGGGTTTCATTCCTGTCTGAGGGATGGATGTGAAAATGAAAAAAAGATTGAATGCACAGAAGCTTCAACTTTTTTTTTAGTTCATATTTGAGTTTAATGAAAAATACGACCCAGGCGTGCTCTGACTGTGTGCAGACTGTCATGAAAATGTGTGTATGAATGCCACCGGCTTACCGTTGTGTGACATCCCGACGTTGAGGCACTTCTGGAAGCGACAGTATTGGCATTTGTTACGCGACTTCTTGTGAATTCGACAGTGAAGATCACAGTGATCGTACACCAGCTTTAACCTGATGGTGCGTCTGAAGAAACCCTGTGAAAAAGAGGAATACGATTAGTACACACGTAGTGACTTCAGTCCTTATGGTTGCTCTGCCTACTCTTTTTCAAATAAGCCCTATTCTAATGCATATTTTTATCCCTTCATCAAAAAGGATTGAGGGGCATAAAAAAGTTTTAACATTTCATTTAATAATTCAAATTCTGAATCAAGTTAATTGCTGGAAAAGTAGCTCAACGCAGTGTCTACTGACTGACAAATACTGATAAGACACCTGGCTCTTTCTAATCTGTATGGAAGCCAATGATTGGGCCAACAAGTCTATTCAAAAGTTAACTGTGCAAATTTACACATTATGTCTTCAACCTTAGGACCAAAGAAGCTTATCTCACCTATTAATGTGTAGCCATGGTCAGACTTATAGTATACATTCCTACACCCTGAGCAGTGTAAAAGGAGAACAAATCCTATGGGCTGCAAATTTCTGAAAGGCGAATTTTCAGTGAGAATAAAAACTGACATCAGGACTTTGTCCGAAGGCTTTTCAAATAAGCATCTACATTCCTATGATCCACAGATGTTTCTTTTTTAATCGTAGGTTATTTATAGAAGAAGGAAGTTAAAAGGGGTCAAGACTCCACCTCAATAAAGAATGTTTTCTGTTTTAAAACAATTAAGTGTTTGCCTGCTTGGCTGACCCCCCTCTTCTTGTGAGTCTCCCCTGAGACATCAGCAGAACAATAACTACTCTCCCTCACCTTCATTCAGCCCCTGACGGAACAGAGTGACAGCTTATGGCGGCAGAAAAACAGAGACCCTTGTTCCGCAACAGTGTCAAAGAGCTTCTGTTTTAACACTGTGGTGGAGTTCAAGGTGACTGTCAGCGGTCGTGTTCTTTTTGATTGTTTTTACAATGCAAGCTGCAAAAAAATATACTGTCAGCATTATGTCGTTCAGTACGAGTCCAAATTTTATAAGAAAAGCTGGTCGTTTGAATAAATCATGCGTAGCTTGCGGCTCTGTTCATTCTTCTAGGGTGGTAGGGTTTAAGCCAACCAAAAACAAATCCACGGTTACGATCCACTGGAAGGACGTTTGTGAGGCAGGCAAACAAAGTGAGTCCACGAATTAGTGAAAACTCTTATTTTGAAAAAAGGCCCCCTTCTTTGATCAGCCCTTTTTCTCACACAGTATTTCATACTGAATGAATATGGCATGACTATTTTCTTGTGTTCATAAGGACACATTCACCCTTTGAATTTAGTCATTTGGATTATAAATCCATCAATAACTGTCATGAAATAGATATGCGGGTCTGTAAGTTTACTTTCACGGTCTGTATTCACATGAAGCTGTTCACTCCTTGGAAGCTTCGTAGCTTCACCTTGACGAGCGATGAGGGCACCGAGGCCACTGAGTGGTATCAGTGGCCTTGTAACAGTAAGCACTGTACTGTGCACTGTGTGTGTAAGAATAGAGACGAACATGTCTATAGAAAATAGACTCTGCTACCCGTGGAGGCAAAACCTCACTAAGACTAAATTTGGCTTGGTAGCTTGTGTTTACTACATGTGATGTCAGCCTGAAATGAAGTTAATCGTAATGAACAAGGAATAAGTCACCTATTAAAATGGAAAACTATTAAACCAGCATAAATGAGCCACACAACCAGTGTGGCGCGGGCTGTAGTGTGGGCTGTTTTATAATTACACTCTTTAACAAAGATAAATAAATGATATTAGGCAGAAAACAGCACAAAATTTTTATTTCCTACAAAACTACAAAATATTTCAGCTGGACTTTTCCTAGTAAGTAAGCAATATATAGTAGGCCTCTTGTATTGCACTTTGAATCATACTAGTTGAATCATACTACTCAGTAACAAGCTGCTGCATTTCAGTTTCTTTTTTCTGTGAAAGCGCCAGAGTGAAGGTTTCTTTTCAAATTAGTTTGATTTCAGACGTGCAAACGCTTCTTGGATCTAAACCAAAAGATGCACAGACAGGTCTGCCGATTCTGAAAAATCCATCTCATATGTGTTTGGAGAAAAATGTTCATGTTTCTGTAATGTGTCAATATTTCAAAGAAAATGGAAATATTTCTGAAACTTCACCCACACTCTATTAGTTATTTATACTCTATACAGACAGACAAACAGACAGAGAGTTTAAATGGGTGGCTGTCTGAAGAAGCACACGCCTATCTTGAGCCCTCGCTGAGTGGAAAATGTATGGGGCTTGTGGTTAGAGTGGCAGACATCAAAAAGATGAAAAAAAAAGCACATTTCTCTCCATGCATTATAGAATTATTTATTCCACCAACAAGTTTCACCGACGGGTGACACACAGTGACAGAAAAAGAGTGGCAGAGAGAGAAAAGAGCTGCAGTAGAAATTGTTACACCCATTACCATTTCCTGACACGACTTGAAAGTAGTATGACTGCTGATTTATAATCATCTGAGCATTACTTGTTAAGAAAAAGACTTAACGCACTCTCTACTGATATGAATCATGATTTAACACATGAATCATTTCTGTGATGATTGAAAACCATTTAAAAAAAATCCTCTCTAAAACTGAGCAAAGATGGAGCGCTGCTTAAAATGTATCGACTGATCCACAAATTGACTTAAACATGAATCGTATCAACCGCTGTGTGCAGTTTAGTAAAATTCTAACCAATGACAAACCTCAGTGAAGATTGTTTTTGTTCTAAGAACACGTTGAATATTTAGAGGTTTTAAACCGTTACCTGGACATAACAAAAAACAGGAATTTAACGAAGAGATTACGAGACGATCTGAAATGTTTCTACGCTCATCGGCATTTTCATCTTCCCTTGTGAGATCGTTCAGCCTTACCTTGCAGCCCTCACAGGCGTGGACGCCATAGTGAAACCCTGACGCTTTGTCCCCACACACGCGGCACTCGATGTTTAGCGCTGCCGCCGACGTATCGTCTGGGAGCTTGGATAGCACGGGAATATCTGAGTACTGTGGAGGTGACTCGGGCTCCAGCTTGATGGAATCTGATCAAGAAACACCATCACGCAGAAAGGAAGACAGACAGAAAGCACACAAAATTCAAACTTCACCTCTTACATCCATTTAAAAGTTCAGCACTCGGTTGCTTAAACCTTGCTTCTATAAATCTGCATCCTGTTACCCATAACTGCCTTTAATAGTTACTCTGATGCATGCAGCACATCTCTTAATCTCAGTCTACATCTCATTCAGGTCACCGCTTGCTTTGTTACACCTAAAGTATATTTTACATTTATATCATTCGTCTCTGGTCAATGTGCTTACTGAACATGTCTGGTTGTGTCCTGTAGCTGTGCATGTTTGTGTAGTCCATGTTGGTCAGGTGTTCTTCACTCTGCGGTGGACTTAGGTCATAGGCCACGCCAGCGGAAGGGATGGAGGATACAAGCGGGGGAGACAGGGAGGAAGGGATGGAGGAGGAGGAAATGGAGGCGTAGTCAAACGTGGACAAATGTTTCATTTCGAGCGAGTGGGAGCTGTCCTCCAGCTCTGGCAGATCTGCTGTGTTCAGACTGAAGCCAACAGGCCAGGCCAGGAGCTGCTGGGTGTCCACCATGTCTACTGTAAGAGAGAGGAAAGGCAAGTATGCGAGTTAATTCAAAAATCAGTTGCCAGCTAAATTTAACTTAACATAATTAGAAAAACAATAACCACTGAGAATAAAAGGAAGCAGAAAACTGTATATGAAAATAAAAGCACACGCAGACAAGTCCACATGCACTGTTGTACAGTTGTTAATAATTAAAAAGGACCTCTCAGAAAAATTCTAAACATTTGGGCGTGCGCACACACTCCATTAAAAACACTACAAGGAGTACCCGTCGTGCTTTACTTCATTCCTGCAGTGTGTCTGTTATCTAGTAAACAGGGAACACTGATTGTGTCACAGGCAGTACAAAATGAACTCTGGCATTGAGGAACGTCTCTTCTGCTCAAAACACTGCCTTCCTCTGTTGCTGTTTGGGTGCTTGCTGTGCGATTGCCCAACCACAGGACACACAAAGCAGGCCAAGGATGCAGGCCTTTAGCTTCGGCAACTTCTCTGGTCTTAAGGACTGGGTTGGTGGTAAAAACTGAACAGTATCTTTTTCAACTTCTAGGAATTTTACTTTTCCTTTGCTGAAGATTTTATCTTGTGCAAATCTATTAAAGGAAACAGTTGGTGTTTACCACTATTTTTCTAATTGATAACTAATTCATTGGAATGTTTTGTCTGTCTCTGCATACTTTGAGACTGCACTTTTTCTGCATCTTCAGAAAAAGGTCAGAGAATTAAATTATTTTTTAAAAGGAGCAACAGCAAAAAACAAACAAACAAACAAAAAAAAAACCAACTTAAAAAAGGTGCATTTATTGTTTTCTCTTTGTTGCACTTGCCAAAGTACAGCAGCCAGGAGTATGATTTCGCATTTTGATGGGTTTCTAATCATTGCTAACAGTTACATGGGAAAAAAAAAGCTTTGGCTACAATGACAAATGGGTATGATCCACGTCTTTGTTGGTTCTTAATGTTTTTTCATGGGATTTGTTGACACTGAGAAAACATTTTCCTAAGCAAAGTGTGCAATCTCTTGATTTCTACTGAAAGGCTCCCTCTGGGTATTCAGCTTGTTGTTAGTATAAATAAATTAAAGTTCTTGTGTCATTTCAGTTTCTAATGCAGATGGTCAAAGATTGGAAGGAAAAAGAAAAGCCCAGATGATCAAAGTCCGCTAGTCCGAGGTTACTGCAGTCCACATGAAAGCAAACCACATACGAGCCTTTATAAGCCTGGCTACCTTTGCACAAGGCCCTGATGTAATGTACAAGTTGTAGAATATGTTGTTTTTAGGATGTAGGCTATTTAAATGGCCTTCCCAGACAGTGGCTCTTTAAAATGAGCCACTCATATGGGTTGAAGTTTGTCCCCCTGGCAATTATTAAACCTGTAAAAAACAAACAAACATCGCTGTATATCAAAATTATGTAGAACATTACTTTCTCAGAATGGCCTACCTGTAAATCTAAACCTTTGCCACCGATTTAATGACATGCAAATTCATCCCTGGCTCTGCGCTGCAGCATTCTTATCACTGCAAAACAATGTCAAACTGCTCAACAGCAACCGACAGCAGGTCAAAATGCTGCCATAACGCATCTTTTAAGATGAAACTGTTTCTGAAGAACAATTAGCGTCCACTCTAAATCGCAGTATGAGAATGATAATGTATTAGAAAAGCAGTATTTATGGAAAAAATTAGACTTTTGCAGACTGTTGCAAACAGGTTACAGGTTACATGGGTTTTTTTTTTACGCTCAAAACTGCGGTTTCTTGAATGTGTGTCTTTTGAAGTTTTCATTGGTAAAGTTCCAAGTAAGCTCACAAATAAAGACAGGAAGTCATTCTCTGAAAACCACACCCGCTGGAGGGGAAACTAATTGGCACCGCAATAAGCCACCGAGGTCCACATTTCTATGCTCGCATTGTGGAAACGTTCAGCTAGCTAAGGATAGTACAATACACTTGAGTGCATTTATGCAACGCTTTTCTAGTACTAGAGACCACTCTTTGTCCAGTTGTAGAATTAAATATATTTATTTGAAAAAACAAAAACAAACTATATACACACACACACACACACACACACACACACACACACACACACACACACACACACACACACACATATATATATATATATATCCATCAGCAGCCTAAGCAGAGAAGCCCAGGCCTCCCTCTCCCCGGCCTCCTCCTCCAGCTTATCCGGGGCCTTCTCCCAGTGGGACATGCCAGGAACACCAACCCCAGGAGGCGCCCAGGGGGCATCCTTGTCAGATGCCCGAACCACCTCAGCTGGCTCCTTTCGATGTGGAGCAGCAGCTGCTCTACTCTGAGCCCCTCCCGGATGGCTGAACTTCTCACCCTATCTCTAAGGGAGAGGCCAGCCACCCTTCGGAGGAAGCTCATTTCTGCCGCTTGTATCTGCGATCTCGTTCTTTCGGTCACTACCCACAGCTCGTGGCCATAGGTGAGGGTAGGGACGTAGATCGACCGGTAAATTGAGAGCTTTGCTTTTACACTCAGCTCCCTCTTCACCACGACGGACCAGTGCAGCGTCCGCATCACTGCAGCTGCAGCACCAATCCGTCTGTCGATCTCCGGCTCCCTTCTCCCATCACTCGCGAACAAGACCCCGAGATACTTGAACTCCTCCACTTGGGGCAGGAACTCATCCCCGACCCGGAGTGGGCACTCCACCCTTTTCCGGCTGAGAACCATGGCCTCAGAAAAGCAGAGATGACATTCTGAGGCCACCAAAGTGAAAACCCTCCGCCACTTGGCTGCGCCTATAAATCCTGTCCATAAAAATTATGAACAGAATCTGTGACACAGTGCAGCCTTGGCGGAGCCCATCACCCACCGGGAACGAGTCCGACTTATTGCCGGCAATGCGAACCAAGCTCTTGCAACGGTTGTATAGGGATCGAATGGCCCATAGCAACGGGCCAGACACCCCATACTCCCGCAGCACCTCCCACGGGACACCCCGAGGGACACGGTCGAATGCCTTCTCCAAGTCCACAAAACACATGTAGACTGGTTGGGCAAACTCCCATGCACCCTCAAGTATCCTGGAGAGGATAAAGAGCTGGTCCAGTGTTCCGTGACCAGGACGAAAACCGCATTGTTCCTCCTGTATCCGAGGATCGACTAGCGGACGAACTCTCCTTTCCAGCACCCTGGCATAGACTTTCCCAGGGAGGCTGATATATTTATCAAAATCAGACATTAAAGGTTGATTGGCGGAGGTTTATTTTGAGATCTGGTGGCAGCTTCTGTAGTTCAGCTCATCAACCTTTACCCTCTATTGATTATATACCAAGTGCCCACAGTGGGGTTTTTTTTTTGGTTCTTTCAGTTTAAATAAAGGTCAGAATTTCAGCACAAAAGTCTTACGAGTTTAGAAAACAGCAACAGTTTAAAGGACTGCAATGCAGGAACCTACAGGATCTTGAATGGACTCCTGATTCTGGTTCAGGGTCGTCACTAGAGCGTATTAACTGGAGGGTAACCAACTATGACATTTGGCTCAAGTCACTTAGTCACTTTGGTGTTGCCTATAAATACATCAATAAATAAATAAAGAAATGCACTTGTACTCACACAGGCTACGCCCAGAGGTTGTAAACTAACAAGCACAGCGATACCCATTTAAAAGAGACCATTATTAAACCTAAACCGGCCCACCCTTACAGGTAACACAACAAATTTAGGCATAAACAAGCTACTTTAAACTACACCCTCGCAGAGAAATTTAGCCACATTTAAAAAAGGTGCAAAAATATCCAAAATGTAATAGACTACAGAGGCAAACCAGGAGAATGACAGAATAGATTTTTTTTTCTAGGCAAAGAATTGGACCAGTGAACTCACCAAAGGTTAAGATGACTGTGAGTGCAGAATATTTTTTACCACATTTTCATTTCTTTTGTAATTTTCCAGTGGGGTCATGCTTTAAAACTACTTTCACAAGCCGATGAGTGATCTGTTTCAAGTTTTAAAGAGAAATTAGGAGTACTTCCTAAAGTCTGACCTGCACATGCCCTGCTGTCGTGCTAACCAGAAGGTTATCTGGTTATCTATCAGCACAATTCAGCATAATGTCGACGCTGCTCTGGCTTTATGGTAAAATATGCAACTGTACAGCAAAACTAAGGAGGTTTATGTAAAAAACAAGTAACAACATGGAAGGAGCAGAAATGCTTTAACCAATAAATGGCATCATAGCACTATTACTACACACTTGTACACACTGGGGGCAGATTGCATGCCATAAAAACACCGCAGCAATTTCCTAATGTTGTAAACCCGCTCAACATTTGGCAATAAAACCCTTTCTGATTCTGATTCATAAAAGAGAGCGACCCCAAATATATACTGGCAGATTTAAATCAGATATGTACTGCACTTTTTAATGTTATTTATTTCCAATTTTACTTTTATGGTAGAAATGACTATATGTGAATATTTAGCTCATATCCACTGCTACACTAGTGGGTATCTACTTTCTTCATGTTGCTGTGTTATTGTCAAATTATCTTACGTGCTAATACTCACTGGATTAAAGTAACACTTGACTCAATGCACAGTGGGGTCCATAGTCTAACAGTCTGTTAGATTTCTTTATTTTTGCTAGTTTATGATGGGAAGATAAAGGCCGATCCGGCGTCTTTCTAAACATCAGCAATGAAAACTGGATATATTTCCTGTGCTTGTGACAGGACTGTGCTGAAATTCTGACCTTGATTTAAACCGAAGAGACTGAAAAAACACAGAGGACAGCAGGCAATTTATAAATAATCAATAGAGGAAAAAGTTCAGTGACCTTCCAAACAACCTTTCACAATCACCACCAAATCTCAAAATAAACCTCCCTCCGCTCATCAACCTTTACTGCCTAATTTGGAAAAAAATAAGTGTAACAAAAGAATACAACAAATGATGCAACAGGACAAAGCCAAAATAGCAATACTCAGGTGGCACAGTAGCACCAGCTATAAAAATGGCTTGAAATGGCTCCAAATTACTTGGCACAACATCCCTGTGGAACAAACATCCTCCTCATCCTCCTCAACTGCATATTGTTTCCTCTCTACTTGTTTGGAATGTGGTGGCGAAAATCAATAGGGGGTCCACTTAAAATTCACATCAACTGTGACATTGTTTCACAGCGAGTGAGAGAAGGCATCTGCGTGTCCACATGCTGTAACTTCCACTGCCCTGGAAGCTGGTGACTATTAATAAACAGAGAAACCTGGATATTTTTCCATATGCTGGCCAGCTGCCAGCTGATCTCAAGCTAAAATAGCACCGGAGCAACTTGCGCTCTCGTTGGCATGAAGTCATCAGGACACAGAAAATTAGCAGGAGAGTGAGTTCTGACAAAAGGCAAGAGAGATAAAGTAGGAAGGGTGAAAGAGAGCGAGTTCCCAGACCACCAAAAGAAATCAAGCTGGACCCCTGAGACTTTGAAAAAACTCTTATCTTAGGAAATTCATGCTCTGTGCTCACCACCACATGGGAAGGAAAAAAAAGGGAAGGAGGCTGCAGAGTGGCAGTTAAACCAAGGTGCTTAAATTATGTTGCAATCAAAGGTAAAAAGTTTTTTCCCTATAGCTCCTCTTCTTGGAAACGCTACAGTGCAAAAGCAACCAAATTAACCTGATTTTATCAGACTGGTTTGTGGGAAAGCAACCTGTCAGAGTTTATAAAAAGTGAGGGATGACTAGTGAGGGACACGCAGTATGTTTCAAAAGGTGTGTACATGTGAGCACGTGTGACAGTTGTTTCCTGCCAGTTCTCAAATTTCCACAAGTCAGAACTTGATTTCCACGTAAGAGTACAGTGTGTAGGAGTACTTTCTATTGGCTATTGCCTAACTCGCGACCTAATAACAAAGGCCCAACGGCAATCTGGCAGGCAGGTCTGGCAGGCTGCTGTACCTGAACAAGCCAGACAGTGTGTGTGGGAGCAAACACACAGTGAGACACATCAGCATTTTCTGCGAAATGAGCTCATACAAACAGGGACAAGAAGTGTCCAATTACTTTAGAGGAGAGAGAAGCTATTATTACATGAAACAGCAAGACCAAAATGTTAACTTTAAGAGTTGAGTGTCGTGTTGTTTTTTCGCAGCCTGGATGCAGCAACTTTGGAAAAAAGAGGGAAAAAGAGGGGGTCAGACTGAGAGATGTGAAATCTTTCCTTCAGGGACCGAGTTGCAAAACAAATGTGATGCTTTTTAATGTTCATATTTCTTCACAGCGCCAATAATTTGGTCCAAAACAGAATGAAGAAAATGCAAGAGATCAGATTACTTCACAGAAAGCGTTTAAAGCCCTGTCTATAGCTTTGAGCGCTGTTTTGACAATCAAGGGAACAAGCCTCCTACTTACCTTTTAAAGCACTACTAGCAAAGCGTAACAAAAACACTTAAAGATGCAAAATGTGCAGAAGAAGAAAAAACCCCTACAGTCAGAAAAGATCCAGCATCATAATTCTTCTTTTTGAGTGTTTAACAGCACTCCAGCAAGAGTGCTATTCAACATAAGTCAGGCAAGAGTAAAGAGCGGTTAAGAACATGAGAGACGTTAACACAGAAATCAGCCTCATATATTTAGTAAAGGGAGAACCTGCCCTGCTACATTCAAGGGAGTAACACTCTTATCTTTGCTGTTTGAATAAAAACTATTCAACTTGTCTGAAGGCGAGGGCTGAACCACGCATATCAAACCAGGCAATCTCTCATTCAACACATGTGGCTGGAAATATATTCTGTTTCCACATGAAAGCTGAAAAAAAATTCTTGCAAAAAAAAAAAAGCAACAAGTTTTTTTTCATATATCACAGCTAAGTGAAGAAAAATAGATAAATATAGACGTGCACTACAAAGAAGAGCTGCATAGTTACTAAACAAACCTTAGTCTAACAGTCTAACAGTTTTCTAGCCGTTGCTTTTATGAGATCCTGACGATAAAGTGACATGTTGCAGAGTATTTCCCCTGTAGAAGAGAGCGTTCTTTTCCTCTTTTCTTTCTTTCTTTCTTTCTTGCACAGTAAGCTGTTTATTTTACCAGCTTTTCTGTGCACATGAATGCGTTGAAGTGCGACAGAGAGAGAAAGAAAGAGAGTTAGTGCAGAGAGTTCTGTGACTTCCTGACCTCTTCATGTAAAACAGTATGTGGTTCGCTGTCAGTGACTAAAACAAAGATATGCCCGCCTGCACGTCTGCACAGTCCCCACAAATTCTTTGAAAAGATTAGTGCGCTTTAGTTTTGCCTCGATAGTCCTGCATAAGGAAGCTGTGGGACACTGGAAAAAGCATGCATTGTAAAAAATATTGTGGTTTATTTGACTAAGCAATCTAGTTTACAATATGAGATGGTAGGAGATGTACTTAAAAAACCCCAGCAAAGTTTAAAAGGCCGAATGCAGTTCAAATGCAAAAAAAGAAGAAAAAAATACCCAGAAAGAAAAAAATCATCATCATACGCATTAAAAAAAATTCTGGTGGTGTGAAGCCACAGTGGACAGAATTACCTGAAAAGGGCCTCCCCCTCTGCACCTGAACGATCAAACAGGAGAGTGATGGAAAACCATGTGCACCCAAGGTGTCAGGCAGAGGTTTGGACTGCCCTGTCAGTAGAATCGAGAGTCTCCTCTTGTCTGAAAACCCACATACTTGGTTGGTACTGAATTTACTCACCAGAAATCTTCAAAGTTTGACACAGTGGGAGGTTAGAAACCACAAGTTTTGTCTGGTTGGCACAGCTCTGAGTAAAACAGCATCCAGACAACCTTTCTCTGATTTCAATTTGATTTTTGTCTCTCTCTCTTTTTTTGTTTCAACTTCAAAAGCTAGGAAAATTGAGCACTGATAACACTAAGTCAACCTGAGGTCAGATCAGGAGAGAGGCAAAATTAACATAAGTACGAATAAATCAAAGAAAATGCACCTCCCTCTTTAAAAGAGACAAAAACAAAACAAAACCGAGGCTGTTCTCTAATCCTAAAATGTCCTGCTAATCATAATTTTAATTTGTTTTATTGAAAGGAGTCTCGCATTAACAGCAGAAATACACCCCCACACACACATTAAAAAAAAAAAAATCTGAATTGGTGCTCTTACTACACACACAGTGATGCTACCAAATATCGCGCTAATCTTGCTTACACACCAAAACATGTCCATAAAGTGATAAACGGTCTGTCAAGGCAAATCAAATAAAACTGGCTGACCTCTAGTATCGCACTGATCAGTGCTGCTGTCTGCTCACACATAACTGACTGGATGCCACGATTACATGTACGATTTAACTGCAGCTTCCTGATCATGATTGGTCTTTGTACTTGTTGGTTTATTAAGGCTATCCAAAGCAGCTAATGTTCAGACAAGATAATGAACCGAATGACAGCAACACACACACGCGCGCACGGGGTACCGCACGGTCCACTCACCCTGCTTCTACTGTTTTGGTTCAGAGTCTTCAGTGTCCGCTAAATGACCAAGAAGTGACAGTGGCAGTGACAGGAGCAGAGACTACTGTGAGTGAGCGTGTGTGTGTGTGTGTGTGTGTGGTCATGTTTTTCCTCAGGAAGTGATGACCAATAGAAAGGGAACTACACACACATTTTCTCCTTCTGACAGAGTCTGGGCTCAGCAAAAGTTCAGACAGCAAACTATCATGTGGTCTGTGTGTGTGTCTGTGTGTGTGGTTTTATTGTCAGTTTTATATGTGTCATTCATTTTTATATATTTTTATGTGCGCATGTCGCTGCTGTATTAAATAGACAGTGCATATTTGTGTATGTGTGGCCATGTGCTTCAAGTTGTTTTCTTGTATACAGTTTTTCTTCTAGTTTCATGTGTCTAAGTGTGTGTATGTGTGTGTGTGTGTGTGTGTGTGTGTGTGAGGTGGTAGACATCAGATGCAGATGATTTCCTGTTGCTACACACTGACAGGCAAGCTCATCATGCCTCTTTGGTTGCACTTCTCTCCCTCCGCTCAGTCACTCAGTGTCGATGTGACCATGGTGACGCACTCGCTCCTCATGCAATTTCTAACCCAAGAACATTAACATGAACATAATAGTTCCCTGATTTGATTTCTTACTAGAAAAGCACCGCTGTTTAACCTCATGAGCTGGGGTCAGATGCTCACTATCTCTTTTGTTGTTGAGATTTAATCTGAACAGATTTCAACAATGTAGCAAACTCCTCAATACAACAGATGTGCTGTATAGTTCAGTCTCTGTATGCACAAATACATGGCACTGATAGATTATTCCAGCTCTTTACAGCACACTGTTTTTCTTGTGTGACTCCAAATTGGTTTATAGACAGATTCTGTTTGATTTCAGTTTATCTGTTGTCTGTTTCAATTATATATTAAAGAAAGAACTGAAATTTTCATCTCTCATTATGAGAAATTCGACCAAATTCACGTTCCAAAGCCAAGTAATAGAGAAGTGGTTTCTTCTTTCAGCTTCCATCTGCAATTGTACATCATGTGACTCCACAAGAATGCACAAATCGCAACTTAACCTAGAAAAATTATCTCCAAAAAGGCATTTAGCATATCAAAAAAGAGACAAGTGATTGACATACTAAAAAAAAATCCAGAGACAGAGTCTCTGTTTGCATATTAACATCAAACAGTCATTGACAGCCTGTCATTTTGGCCCTAAGGGTCAAGTCTGGAGAGGTAGGAGGAGAGTGGTTTAGTTTGAAACTTTCACAGTTAGTGTGCGCAGAGGAAACAACCGGTCCTTCCAACAATATAGTGAATGACCCAAATATTTTCTAAGAACTAAAGTCTTCAGTTCTTATAAAGATTAAAAAACAAAATAAAGCAAAAATACTTTTAAAAAATGTAGAAATGGTTAGATCAGAGTGAATTTTACAAACACTGGGCAGATTTAAAATGCAGCATTTGTGCTTGTAAATATCATTTTTCATGTAAAATAACTTATTTTTTGAGGCCATTCACGTCTTAATCTAACAACTCATACACTACAAGGTGGCTGCCCACACATTCGCCGATATACCACCGGGATTAACAATTCGAACGAGACAGAGAACTGTAGTTTTGACGGTACAAACCTCAGGTACAACTTGAAACTGTCTCTGAGAAACCTCAGGTGTGTGGGGGGAAATTGTCGAAAATGACTCACTGACCATATCATACAACTGTTTTTCCATTTATCAAGAGACTAGGTTTTGTGTCTTTGTACATCATGGTAAACGTGTTTCTGTATATATCATACGTGCTGATACTCATATAAGTTGGTTTAACCAATATTAAACAGAGATTTCTTTGTATATATGAAATCAATCATTAGAAAATGATGTTATATTCATTGTGAATTTAATGTGAGACTTGTCTTTGTAGCCAAGGTGTTGAGATGTACTAGCTTAAAATATTTTATGATTCGGCTTGCATTATAGCAAATGCCAGGGTGCAACGATGGCACTGATTTGACCTAACCCCCCCCCCCCCAAGAACTGCAGTAGGAAATTATCTTCTTTACCTACACATTAGAACACAATGTGGCAGATTTGTCAGAACAACTGTCCCGCTGGGGCACAATATGCAAATTACCTACTTCATATCTGCATATGCGAAAGTGAAAGTGGCATAATACTTAATTTCTGTGTTCATTCTGAGTGTTTACACTGAAAAATGCATAATTAATGCATAATTGTTCTTACGTTCTTGCTGCCAGCTCTCTAAACATTTTGGAGCTGCATTATGTAACTAGCACAAATGTGGCATTAGCTCAGTGAGGGCGGGGTAGTACATGCTTGAACACTAGCTATAAACTATGAACACATGTGCGAAAACCACACATGAGAATGACTGGTCAATACGTGGATTAGTGTCATAGCTGGTTACGACATGAACCTAAATGACCAGTTTGGTATTTCAGACGACGTGATTTTTGACTGAGATGATCAAACAAGAGCTAGAACTCGCAGACAGTTAGCTTAAGTTAGCATGAAAACAGGAAATGGAGAAGCATCAAGGATGTCTATGTCTACAAGTAAAAACACCTACCAGTACCGCTAAAGCTTACTAAATGAAATGTGTCACTACTTGGAGAAATGTAAATCATAAGCTGTAACAACAATAAATAGACTGTTTTACCAAAAATGTTAAACTACTCTTTTAATAGCTGCAGACTGATAAGATTAGGTGAAAAAATTATTTATTCCAGTGAGATAATACAGCGGTCCCTCGTTAATCGCGGGAGTTACTTTCTAAAAATAACCTGCAATAGGCAAAATCCACAAAGTCAGCTTTATTTTTTTACAATTATTATAGATGTTTTTAGGTTGTAAAACCCCTCACTACACACTTTATACACTTTTCTCAGACAGGCATGAACATTTTTACATCTTTCTCTCTTGTTTAAACACTCTCAAAGTTCAAACCTTTGTAGAAAAATAACTCCAGTATTATAGAATGAAACCAACTTCAGAGACACTGCTAGTGATCGATGATTTATGTAAATTTGACAAGCTGAATGCATTCTGTACTGGACAGGAGACACGGGACAGAGGAGCTTGATTGACAATGGTCTACAGCCGATCGGGAGGCAGAACACAATGCACTCTATCAAAAAAAAAAAAAAGCATGCAAAATTGCACTAAAAAAAATCCACGAAACGGCGAGGCCGCAAAAGGTGAACCGCGATATTGCAAGGGACCACTGTACTAGTTTACTTCTTTCTCCTCATTTTTAGGCAGTTTGGTTTTTAACGATAATATATCTCACTTGTGCAACAGCAGTCATACAACATCGCCCTGCCAACACCAGATGCATTTGGTTTTGCTCATAGTATCCCTTCCGCTGATCAGTCATCATATCAGCTATCCTTAAAATATTATTCTATTTATTATCCACTCAACAATCATAATGAGTAACCACGTTTTGCTTGGCCTGGGTCCCAGTAAAAATATATTTATTTTTATATACCAAATATTTTTGCTCATATGACTCTATAACGTTGAAAAGGTCGCTGTCATTCTGTGCAATGGCTTGGCAGAATCACCCATGCACACACATCTGTACACAGAGCGATGTTCAAAATATGTTTTCATTGTGTCAAATGACAGTGCGGCTCCTATAGCACTGGACGCTCTTGATCGTATTAAACATAGTGAGATGTGCAAGGACGCATACACAATATGCTGCGTTTGTTTGTTGCTTATATGTTGCAAGACAAATAAGAAATGGGAAACGATGTACAAAGGGATCAGCAGATGTTTCGAAACCTTAGTCCTGGCTGACTGCTCTTCCTAGACATCGCCTTGGTTGAAAAAAATTGTTGTAAAAGTTGTGCGATGTCTGCAGTGTTTCCTTTCCATGTGCTCAAGATCTTTCTAAAACATCTCCTGGATGCCCTTCTCGGATTTTCTTGCAAGGGTAAGTGTGCATGCAAGAACTGTTTTACATTTGACTTTTGACAGTTAGAGTACAACGAAACAAACAAACAAAATTCTCGCTTGCTGAAAGAGCGAGAACTGTTTGAGTGAGAAGAGGGCAACCTAAACTCAAGAACTCTTTCTCTGAAGACCATATTCTATCTTACTGATCTACTCAACGTATTAAATAAAGCACACTACTGAGTTATATTGCTGGCATTTGGAGGCAGAGAGATAAACACAGATGCATACGTTCATCATACAACATATAAGACAGAAGAATTTACATGTCAGAAATACATTTTTGCAAGCTCATTTTTTAAGAGGTGGGGGGCAATCTGGTAATACTAGTTTTTTATGAGCAGGAAATGTTTTGGATTTCATAATCAAATAAGCTGTCAATCAGATACTGTTGTATTATAAAAATGAAACAAAGGAACATTCATTTGCCTTCTTTATCACAATACATATCAAGCCACTGGTGGCGACACAGTGGTGCAGTGGTTAGCACCGACATGCCAAAGCAAGAAGGTTCTTGGTTCTAATCTCCTGGGTGGCTTAGGCCTTACTGTCTGTAGTCTGCATGTCCTCCCTGTCCCTGCATGGATTTCCCCTCAAGATACAGCTCTTCTCTCTGTGTGAGCCCTCCAGCAGACTAGCAACCTGTCCAGAGTATATGTCTGTGAAGGTTCTCAGTCATCCAGGTCATCGTAGTCAAAGGAGCTTGTAAAGAAAAGCGTCTGGACTTCTTTAAGTTGCTTCTTAAAGAAGAAGCTTCAGAACTGAACTGAAGAACTGAAGAAGCTTCTCGGATGAGAGGTGAAAGGTCTTCAAGCAACTTAAAGAAGTCCAGACACTTTTCTTTACAAGCTCCTTTGACTATCCAGAGTATACCCTCCCACTATTAGCCGCCACAGGCTCTGTGACACCAAGTTGGATGGATGACTGATATTTATGTAAATGGACACAAAATCAACATCTGTCCATGTATGCATCTCCAGGTCAGCTTTCTTGAGATAACAACGTTTCATCTGCTGTGTTTGCTGGTTAGAAGGCTATACATAAACACATGGGAAAAGCCAAACAAAGAGCGATAGAGCACCTGCCTTGTTTTTTTTTTAGCTGTAATGCTTTTTATGTATGCATCTGCTTCCATACATGCTTCTGTTTTTAGAATCATGAGTTTTCACAATAATTTGAGGACATGAACTCTCACCCAGTTCCTTTAAATAGCTATGAGTTAATGGTTGATGAGTCCCTTGAGCCTCAAGATCTTCCTCAGTGGTTAAGGGGAAGGAGTGGTTGCATGTTGTCATGGTCACAAACACACAGATTTTTACACATCCACTCGTAAATACTACCTGTGTGAGCAATGGTGTCACATGTACAAGACATGTATGTAAGGACATGTGTGCACAGCATAAATGGAGCACGGCCCGGGGCACTCCTTTCCTTTATGAGAAGAGAACAAAGTCAGACTTTATCTATCTTTGATGCACAGTCCAGACACATGTTTCAGACATCTAGCACTGAAAACATGAAACAGGTTAAAAAAAACAAAAAAAAACAAAAGGATGGAGCAAGAATAAAAACAATGAGGATAATATGACAAACAAGGACAGTGAGATCACTGCTTCATGCTGTGACACATGTGCCTATATGATGATCATGTACGTTAATCATCACTCTATATGCTTATGATCCCAGCTGTGAAAGTCATGTGAGAATACGCACAAGCAATGATTTATTGCTAAACTTGTGTGTTGATAAACACAGGGAGTGAGAAGGAGGGTGATATGGTAGGAAAGGGGAGAGGTGCAATGTGGGAAGGGTCATGCCCTGTTCCTCGAAGCGGAGAGGAAAAGACGGGAGTGTGCTCCCGTCAGCTGCACTTAACTGGACAATAACAAAGCGACACATGACGTGAATCTCATTCAAAAGACGCACTGTAAATATGAGTGCCAGGAAAGGTGTATGCAGAAAGAAACATCACAAAATTTCTGTGAGGGGTAAAGGACGTATAAGAAGGAGGTCAGAGTTGGCTCAGGAGGCGTGTGCTCTCTACCACACGCTGGACTGGTGGCGAAGATAAATGTATACTCATGAACGGGAGTGTAAGACTGGATGAAACACTGTCCAGTCTTTGGCATGCTGTTATGTTTTTGGAAGCTTAATGTTTTAATGCTACTTGAAAGCATTTCACCATGAACGCTAAGCAGCCAAACACATGTAAGTGCAAATAAGAAGTGGACATTTACATTCAAACATTGAATATCTAAAAATCACTGACATAAAGCTTCAGACTTGAGTCAACTGTAAAAAATAATGGTTGTTTATCATTTTTCTAAAAACAGTTTAAACTATTAGCCAGATCTGGCAGTGATGACTTCACTGGTAACTTGTGCCTGGTGTACCCCTCCTCTGTCCCTGTGAAAGCTGAGATAGACTCCAGTTTGATGAGACCTTACCCAACACTAAAGATATTCACAGAGATTAATGACAAAATTGGTTGATAAGCATGACAAATAAATTCAGATGGAAACTTTTTCACCCCTTCTTGGAGAGGTGAAAAAAAAAATTCCATAAAGACGCAAGCTACTGGCAGTTGTTGTTCCTGTTTTATTTTTTTTTTAGGTTATTTGGCATTCGGTTATGATTAGCCAATTTTAAATTGAGGAGGTGGATTGCAGAAATCAGCCAGATCATTCAGAGAAGAATCTGAACTGGATATGGCATTAAGCAATGCCATATCCAGTAAACCCAAGAAGCACCCGATGCACATCAAGTATGAGTCAGTTTTCAAGTTCCCAATAGAGACCAGATTTTGACCTGATGAGATGCTTTTTGCTCCCACATCTTTTTAAAAGGGAAATTAGGACAGAGGTTACTAGATATCCCTACAGTCTGTTGAATAATTTCTGTGTTAAAGTGCATTGGCAAGAAAATCCTTCTTGCGTGTGTATGGCAGTATATGTGTGTAACTGTGCGACTG